AGAGAGTCAGCTGTGAGATGAATGGGATCGTAACAGAGCAGGGAACGAAAAGCTTCTGGATGTAGCTGGATCTTCTGGAGGACTCCAAGGGTCTTCAGCCCGTCTCTGAATCTAAGCACAAGATTTTGCATAAAAAAACAAAACATTTAAGTACTAAAGAAGTCCCTATGTCCTATTCATGTAGTTCTTTCTTTCAGAATCAACAAAGTACTTGCAGCTAGCATGTCATGGTGGGTTTGAGGCTCTAGCCCACACGCAGAACACAATACAGGAGGCGCGGAGTCAGGTGAAGGATGTTTATTGTGACAGTGGCACAGGAGGGGGTGGTCCCGGGAAGGGGGCTCTAGGAGCGGTCGGTGACTGAGCCGGTTAGCAGGAACGGGCTTACTTGGCTTGAGGTCAGTGTTCGAGACCATCTGGGAAGCCGGCGGGGGGAAACAGAGCGGCTCGGGTCCAACGGGTGCCGGGGGGGCGGTGGTCGCCAGCCGAAGAATTCCGGAAAAGCTGGCACTTGGATCCTCGGATGGAACGGGAAGCTCGGGCAGCCTGGGGAAATCCAGGTCCTCTGGGAAAAGGTACCATTACTGGCTAACACTCAGGCGTCGAAGTTCTGGCAGTCCACTCCTTAAATACTGCCGGGTGGGTCCTCTTAATTGGGATCTGGTGTGCTGGGTGATGTCACGTGAGACCGGGGACGGGCGGCTGGCCGCCTCTAGTGGCGGAATGGTGAGTGGAAACAGTGAAAAGGGGATCAGAGAACCCCGGACAATGACATAGCAGGGGCTGAAAAGGTCCAGAAACACAAGGGCTGTTTCCATTGCACATATTACCAAATTAATTCGCCTGACTGGGTGTGGTTGTGGTAGAGTGGATGTGGTGCACTTAAAAATGTCACCCCAAGTTTTTGGTTGTTATTATGTATTTGTTTTTTTATATATTTATTTTGTAGAAACAAATAATTTTCTTTTATATTTTGGTATAGCTGGTTGCCATATTTTGCACTTTCCTGAGGAATATTTCTAAGACGGTAATAGTAGTAAGAGGAAATCTTTGATCGGGGGACGCGGTTTTCGGGTTGGTTTAGATGACGGACTTCCTGTTCACGTCAGACGTAATCTGGATTCCGAATGCGAAGCATCATTGATTCATTGCTGTTTTTATTTCTCAGGTATGTACTTGGTGAAAACACTCCAAATTTATTCTGTGAAATTATTATATCCTGTTGTAGTAGATTGTACTGATACAGCTGATATGGATATTTACATTTAATGCTTTTAAGCTTTATCCGCCGAAAATCCCGGTTATAAATGTTGAAATGCTTTTCTTTGTAAAATAATCGGTTGATATTATTTTGAGATGATTAGTGAAAGAGGTAAACAGTGCACGTTGATGCTTGGCCCCAGTTAATATGCATTTACATGCTAGTGCTGTTTGATGCACTATATTTGTGTCATCATAATGTTTTGATTTATGTGAAAGACGGGAGATCACACAATGCTGTACACTGTGAACTGTTTACTTGTTTAATAAATGAGACGTAATCTGGATTCCGAATGCGAAGCATCATTGATTCATTGCTGTTTTTATTTCTCAGATTGCGCATTCACTGTTGCTGGAGTCCTGATACTCAGGACCTGTAACATGGACACACCTAGAATTCGCCCCTATGGGCCATTTATCAGTGAGATTTTAGTACCTTTTTGAGGCAGGTTCTATAACAAAGCCCAGCAATGGCCCTCATGCTGATTCGATGATTTTCGCAGGTTCTTTTTTTTGTTTTTTTTTCACACATGCTCGTCAGTATAACTTAACACACTCTGGCCAACAACCTTTAACAAGAGTCTGTTTTCACTAAAATCTGTAATATTGAAGTAATATTAAAATATTATTAACAGATTTCAGTGTCTGGCGTTTACGTAATCAGAAAAATAGCCGTAAAGAGTTTTTGCAAGTGGGGACACAGGATTACCGCTGACTGAGAGGACAAAGTGAATTGGCCCAAGTGGGTGGGGTGACTTGTGGGCTAGTGGAAACGGGGCTATAATTGGCCTTCACTTTCCCACCATGTCTTATTATGATATGCAACAAAATTACCTCTCAAAAGGTCCCAGTACCCGGTGAACAACTTGGAACATGAGAATGTCTTTAAGTAGTTGATACTTGTCGGTCAAGGAAGTAAGATTCCTCAAACAGCCAGCAGTTGCTAGATAGTCTGTTAGTGGTTCAACTGCCACCTTCAGCTCCTGTAGAGTCCTGACTTCAGAGACCTGTGGAATAATGCATAAAGAAACCTAATAACGCATCAACATCTATCATCACAATCCTAGTACTCTACACCAGTGATTCCCAACCTGGTGTGATCACAGGGGGGGCGCAGAGCTTTGTCTGCTTTGAGGTGATGAAAATTATGGTTGTGATCATATTTAAAAAATCTACACACCCAAATCGATTTTACAATATCTATAACTTGTATTAAATATTTTGGTCCAAGGTGAATAATTTTTGGCTATTTGTGACCAGCACGTCTTTGACCTCTGAACTTCTGACTGGCTATGCTAGCAGCGCTTAAAGTTGTAAACTTCATCAAAGCTCGCCCCAGCTGTGCGAGGACGAAGCGCATCAAACACTGCTGCTACACAC